AAAAGAAATTCTGACATGCTACAACATAGATGAACCTTACCTTGAAGTCGTTATGCTAAGTGAAATAAGCCAGATACAAAAGGGTAAATACTGTATGGTCCAACTTGGAATTGTCAGATTCATACAGGCAAAACCAGCAGCTGGAGAGAGAGAGAGTAGGGAATGGAGAGCTACTGTTTAATGGATATCAGGTTTCAGTTGATGAAAAAGTTCTGGAAAAGGATAGTGGTGGTGGTTGCACAACAATGCAAATGTACTTAATGCCATTAAACTCGTATATTTAGATGTGGTAAATTACATGTCATGTATATTTTATTATGATTAAAAAGTTTATAGCATTATGTAGCAAAATCAAAAGAATTAAATAATGTTTAAAATTGGCAACAAGTCTTAGCGGAAAAGCAAGTATTTACAGTCACTCTAAATATAAATAATTTGAGAAAGAAATGCAAAGACTGGGAACCCTGAGCCTGGTCACTGTCTACGCTGGTTCCATAGAAGACGGAGTAGACTCAACCAGCCAGGGGTGCCGGGTTGAGGGAAAGAGGGGTGAAGAGAGTCAAAACTAAAAGAACTCTATCATCAGTACAAAAACTGTGTTGTTTTCAGGAGTAGACAAATAAAGCTCTGGACTATTTTAACATAAGTCCCTTTCTCAATCCAAATTCTAGAATATCTAATTAATTAAAACCAAAGCCAAAGAGCAGGAGGATCACTTGAGCCCAGGAGACAGGTCTGGGCAACTTGGTGCGACCTTACCTCTACAAAAAATTTTAAAATTAGTCAGGTTTGCTAGTGCACACCTGTATGATTCACACCTGTAGTCCCAGCTACTTGGGAATGTAGGGCTCTAGGACTCTACAGGGTCGTGGGGTGTCCCTTGTGCTGTGCTGAGGTGCAGGATCCAAGAAGCAAAGAGACAGGACACTGAAGAATTGGTGAAGAGCATCTGGACTTGGGGGGCCATGCCACATGTGAGCAGAGATCAGTGAGAGCCCCAAATGCCCAGGAGCATCTGTATTTATTAGGTACAAGCAGGGGGCAGGGTCATGAGTGAGGTCATCATCTATAGGCTTAGTAATAGGACATACATAATCACGTGAGTTACAAGCGAGGGTGCCACCCCATTATGTCACTTGGGCAGAGAGGTGGGCCATGCACAGTAGGGGGCCGTGCCATGCGCAGTAGTAAAGGGTCACGTACAGAAAAGGGGTCCACCCCATTAGGTCACTGAGGCAAGGTGGGGGCCATGTGCAACAGGTGTTGTGTGTAACACTTCTTATCTAGGAGATGGAGACTTCAAAGGATTTCTAATAAAAGGATACTGTAAGCCAATGCAGTGGGAGCTGACAGACCTGTGCTCTTCTCTTAAGATACTTATGAACGATACAGAGAAGATTAGCATGGCCCCTGAGCAAGGATGACACGCAAATTCGTGAAGCGTTCCATATTTTTGTGATACTTAAATGATGAAATAAAAGACCTATTAATTTGGAAAAAAAAAAAAAAGATATTTATGGAAGGATGACTTGAGCTAGCACAAAAGGGAGAAAGGACTGACAGGGTGTACAGCCGCCGTGGCTGGTCACACCTGAGGAGTTCTCCCTCGGTTATTTCCAAGATCTCAGGCCTGAGGCCTACTTTTCACAGGAACTGGATGCAAGGTACTACAACTCCTTTATCAGAAGAGGCTCTTGCTTCAAGCCTGCCATACAGCGTATGCCCTTTTAGGCAGGAAAGCCACCACCTGGGTCTTTGGTTCTTGTCCTGGTTTGGCTGTTTTCCCATGTACTGCTTCTGTTCTGTGACTGTTCTAGGCATTCCTCCTACTACTAACTACTATATAGTTATATAAAAGGATTCTATAAATCAGCACTAAATGTGTCAGTACAGCTCCAACTACAATACCTATCTAATTATATAAAAAGATTATATAGAACTAAGTATGCTAGATATAAGCGCTAGATATATGTAAGCAGTAAGTTACACTTAGGCACTAATTCTATAAACTAATATAATTATATATAAAGGATTATATAAAGGAAAATAGCTAAGTAATAACACTATAAACTAAGATATTCTTCAGGCACTAATTGTGCCTGGGGTCTAAACAGTTCCCCTTCCTCGGCGCCCATGGGCGGCGTTACCCACAGCGAAGCTGAAGTGGGAGGATCACCTGAGCCTGGGAAGTCAAGGGTGCAGGGAGCCATGATTGCACCACTACACTACAGCCTGGGATACAGAGTGAGACCCTGTCGCACAATAAAAAGTAAAATAAAACCAAAGACAAATAGATAAAATAGCACAGACTCTAAAATTAAATCCTATGAATATAGTGTTACCTATCTATGACAAAAATCAGAAATAGTGCTGGGGCAATTGGACATTCCTGTGGGGGAAAAAATGTGACTCCTACCTTGCACCATACACAAAAAATAAATTATAGATATACTGCAAATTTAAATGAGAAGAGTAATTCAATAAAGCGTTTAGAGAAAAGCACAAGACAACATCATAGTCTTACAGTAAGCAGAGATTTCTTAACTGGGATATAAAAACTACTCAAAAAAGGCCAGGTGCGGTGGCTCACGCCTGTCATCCCAGGACTTTGGGAGGCCAAGGCGGGCGGATCACCTGAGGTTGGAAGTTCAAGACCAACCTGACCAACATGGAGAAACTCTGTCTCTACTAAAAGTACAAAATTAGCCAGGCAAGGTGGCGGCGACTGTAATCCCAGCTACTCGGGAGGCTGAGGCAGGAGAATCACTTGAACCAGGGAGGCAGAGGTTGCAGTGAGCCAAGATCGTGCCATTGCACTCTAGCCTGGGTAAATACCCTGATTTGATCATTACACACTGAATGCATGTATAAACATATTACATGCCTCATAAATATGTACATTTATTATGTATAAAAAAAAAAAAAAAGAAAAGAAAACCTCAAAAACATTTTAATAATAAATTGAACATATTAAAATTAATAATTTCTGTTCGTCAGATCATTAAGAGAGAAAAGCATCCAGAGTGGGAAAGAAATATGTTTAGTGTGTATATCTGACAAAGAAATCATAACCATTTGTATTACAATATAAGTTATATTGCAAAGATCTTGCAAATCAATATTTAAAAAGATACACTTAATTTTTAAATGGGGGGAAAAATTTGATCCTTCACAAGAGATTTCCAAATGGATAAAAAACAAATAAACAGGTACTCAAATTCATTAGTTATCAGGAAAATGCAAATTAAAATTATTCGTATGATAAACACTATAACACACTTGCTAGAATGACAAAAATTAAAAAGGACAGAAAATACTAAGTGTTGGTAAAGATGAGAAACAACCACACCTCTGATACTCTCAGTAGTGGTGGAGGGGTACACTGGTACAACCACTTTTGAAAACTGTTTAAAAATATCTACTAAAGATGAACAAACTCTAACCTAGGGATTTCATTCCTAGGTCTATACCCAACAGAAATGCACAAACATGTCCACCAAAAGCTATGTACAAAAATATTCATAGCCAGCCAGGCGCAGTAGCTCATGCCTGTAATCCCAGTACTTTGGGAGGCTGAGGCGGGTGGATCACCTGAGGTCAGAAGTTCAAGACCAGCCTGGCCAATATGGCGAAACCCCATCTCTAATAAAAACAGAAAAATTAGCTGGGTGTGGTGGTGTGCACCTGTAATCCCAGGTACTAGGGAGGCTGAGGTAGGAGAATCACTTGAATCCAGAAGGCAGAGGTTGCAGTGAGCCGAGATCGTGCCACTGCACTCCAGCCTGGGAGACAGAGCGACACTCCATCTCAATTTTATATATATATATATACGTATATATATATATATATATATATATACGTGTATATATATATATATATACACGTATATATATATATATGTATATATATATGGCCAAAACCTATAAACTACTGCAGTGCCCACAAATACAGTAGTGAGAATGAATTATAACCACAAACAATACGGAGAAATTTCACAAACATTGTAAAAGAAACTGGACACAAAAGAGTATATACTTAAGATTCCATTTACATAAAGTTCAAAACTAATCAAAAACTAATCTATGGTGTTAGAAGCCAGAGCAACGTTTACCCTTCATGGAGGAGAAAGTACCTAGAAGGGGGAAAGGAATAGGTTTCTGGGATGCTAGTAAAATTCTGCTTCTTTTTTCTTTCTTTATAATGGTAGAGATGAGGATTCACTATGTTGCTCAGGCTGACCGGTCTCAAACTCCTGGTGGATTCGGGAGTACAGAGGTGTGTTTAGTATAAAATGATCTGAAGGGTATGTTTACCATTATATGAACTTCTCTGTGTATTTTAGCTTCAATTATAAAAATTAAAACTAAATTTGTACCAAATTCCACTAACCCAAATTCCATCACCTCAGACTTTATATGTCCTCTTTATTCAAAGTACGACTTCCAAAGTGATTCTCAATTTTCAAGATCAGTAAGTACACAAATTAGACAATTCTAAAGCAGAATTTTTTTCACCGGGAACCAAGAGTGTGACTGAATGGTAGAAAACTTAGGAGGGGTAAATACAAATATAAAAAATGGATATATTTTACAACAGTTGTGAAAACAGATAAACCCAATTAAAATACATTCTAGGTGCATCACAAAGATAAAACCATCCAAGCAGACTTTCCAAGGTCAAGTCTGCTTCCTGACCCTTGCCAAAAGCACACACGTGGGCAAAAAAGGAAGCTGCTTCCATAAGAAGTTGCTTCCAGAGCAAAATGGACTTTCGCTGAGGTCCTCACTCCCATCAATAACCAATATTCTCACCCCCCACGGGAAGGTTTGGAACTCAGTCCACGTGGGGACCGGGGAAGATGAAAGAGGCACGGAAGCGTGAGGCGCCGGAGGCCAGGAGGTGTTGACCTGGACAAGGTGCCCGGGTCCAAAGGCGAGAGGCGGGCGGGCTCGGCACAGCCCAGTCCCTCCCGGACCCCGGGGCCCACTCAGGCTCCGCGGGACGCCTGCGCATCCACCTGCCGACCTGGCCCGGCGGCGGAGCGCGGGGGCGCGCACCGGAGGGGCCGCGGTCCGCACCCCGAGGCGCAGCCCCACGCTCGCCCAGGAAGGAAGCCCCGGGGTCCCGGAGCGGGGCGCGCCCCACAGCCCTCCCGGCGGGCAGGGAAGGGCAGGAGCGGGGCCGCGGGCAGGGGCGGGGCGGGGCGGGGCGGGGCGGGGCAGGAACCGCGGGAGCGGGAGGGGGTGGAGAGGCAGTGGCTCAGCCGGGAGGGGGCGGGGGCAGGCGGGGCAGGGAAGGGACGGGGAAGGGACGGGGGGCCAGAGCCGTGGAGGCCGGGGCGCGGGCCTGAGGGGGAAGGGTCCGGGGGCGGGGACGCAGGGCCCGGGCGGGAGCGCGGGGCTGTCAGGGCGGCCTCGGTCCCCACGCACCGTGGACTCCCGCACTTGGCTGTGGAAGTGCTGCTCCCGCGCCGACACCTCGTCCTGCCCTTCCATCCTCCTTCATGCCCGCCGCCGCGCCGCCCGCGTCCGCGCGCTCCGCCGCACCATCGCCCGCCGCCGCAGGGTCTCGGACGGCCACGCCGGGGACCGGGGCCGGCACGAGCCCGCGAGCCGCGGTTGGAGCAGGAACCGCGACCTCGACACCCGGCGCCGCCTCAGCAGCCTCAGGCGAGCCGCTCGGGCTGAGGGAGGGCGGGCGCCGCGCAGCCGGGGGCGGGGCGGGGGCGGGACAAGAAGGGGAGGGGGCGGGGCCGTGACACGTCAGACGAAGTGCGCCGACGCGTCAGAGAAGCGCGCCTCGCCGTCTTCCGGGCGGGTCTCTGGGCCAGGAGCGCCGAATGGGCGGGGCCTAGGTGCCGCGGGGCGGGGCTTTGGGCCACGCCCTCAGGGGCTACCCCAGCCCGGGAGGCGCAGTCCTGGCGTCCCGTGGGGACGGGGAACGCGGCGGGGGCCCTGAGACCTCTGCCACCTGGCCCGGCCGTAGTCTCAGAGTTCCTGCTCCTCACAGGAACTAATTATTTATGACAGCTGCATGGTGCCCCTCCCTCAGTACTCAGTGCTTAGCACCCAGCACCCCTTACTCAGCACCCAGCACCACACTCAGCCTCAGAGGACCTGGGCAGAGGCAAGCAGGGAGTTCCCCACCGAAACTCTCGCTCTGCCAAAGTAGGTTGAAAGGTCGGAAATCGGTGGTTTTGGGCCGGGCTTTGGGCGGAAACCCGACTTCCCTGGGTCTGATGAGGGTCTTGGGCTGCCCCGCCTGGAAACAGATAACCGAGTTCACGAGGCCCTTGCCAAGTCCTTCAGGTAGGTCGGTCACTAGGGTCGGTTTTATGGCCCTCAGTGGACCCTAAACAGCACCTAATATATGTATTTAGCACCGTCAAATATGCCAAACACAGTAATTCACCCTCCATTCCCCATCATCTTTGTTTTTGTTCTAAAATTTGAATTTAAGGGAATGTTTATAATTTTGCTTTGGGATTTATTTGGCTACGAGGAACTCACTTAAATTGCTGGTGGCTGTGATTTTTGTTTTTGGCATCTTTGAGAATTGTTAGGAAGTGTGAAAATCTACAAATTGCTTTCAAATGTCATTTAGATTTTTTTTTATTGTTTATTTTTTTTGAGACTGAGTCTCACTCTGTCTCCCAGGCTGGAATTTAGTGGCGTGATCTCGGCTCACTGCAGCCTCTGCCTCCCGGGTTCAAGTGATTCTCCTGCCTCAGCCTCCTAAGTAGCTGGGATTACAGGCGTCCGCCACCACGCCCACCTAATTGTTGTATTTTTAGTAGAGACAGGGTTTCACCATGATGGCCAGGCTGGTCTTGAACTCCTGAACTCAGGTGATCCTCCCACCTCATCCTCCCAAAGTGCTGGGATTAGAGGGAGGCATGAGCCACCACGCCCAGCTGTCATTTAGATTTTTATGAATAAATTTAACAGTTAATGACGTTGGTGCAAAGTTCTTCAAAGACAAATATGTGTGAATTTAAATGTTGCCATTTCTCTTCAAAATTTTGAGTTAACATTTTCTCACAACTCAAACTTGTTATGGTGCCTGGTGAAGTCGGAGGCCCCAACACGTGGTTTCTATCAGTTGACTGTACCTGGACATCGTGGTGGTGGGAGAACCTAGAGAACCTGAGGCTTGTTCTCCGCACGTGCCCTGCTGCCATAGGCTCATTGATCATAATCCAGGAACAATTTTCAACAGGCTAAATTCAGTGTTCACCTTTATTTTGCAGAATGTTTGGAGCCCTAAAGAACTTGGGTAATTTCTGCATTAATTCTCTCTAAATCAGTGGGCGAGCACATTAGATTTTAAAGTGTATGGCATTTAAACAGGGATTCCACAAACTGAAGGCATGCAGTATGTCTCATCTTTTGAATGCAACACTCCAACCATCTAGACCTTTTAATTTTCTTTGATGCAGTCATCCCTAGAGGTTTACCCACCACTGGTAGTTGTAACACCCAGGATAGTAGACTTCAAGAATGGCCACGCATTCACCACCCCCTGTACACTCGCCCCTCTGCTGTCCGGCTTTGTCCTTCCTCCCAGCAAGAAATGGACTTTGCTTTCCAGTCCTAGAATCAGCCTGACTGAGTGACCTGCTCTGGCCAGTGGGACATTAGAAAATACAAAGCTATAAGAAAATGCTTGCACATTAGAATTTGCCCTTTCTTACGGCCCCTAGGAACCCTCAATGGCCATGGGCCACTACATCATAAGTCCCAGCCAGCCCAGCTGAACATAGATGACCCGGTCACCTCCATCGCCCCCACTAACACCCTCTTTTCCACATCCCTAAACACAGTTCTCCTATAAGACCACATGGGCCATCGTAGGCTTTGTCTTTTACTCTGGGAGAGGTTAGGAGCCACTGTGGCTTATAGACAGGTGTGATGTGACCTGACTGCTGCTGAGGGCCTGGACAGCAAATGAGGAAGACTTGTTGCAGGAATTCAGAGCCTAGTGACCTGGACCAGGGTGGAGGCAGCAGACAAGGTGAGAAGTGGTCGGATCCTGAATGCATTTTGAAAGGAGGATTTCCTATCACATGGGGGATGTGATCAGAAAAAGGGAAAGACAGGGAGAGCTCCAAGGCATCTGGCCTTAGCAGCCAGGACAGTTGCATCACCAAAGAGGGGGAAGACTTCAGTTAGAACAAGTTTTGGGGAAAAGACACACAGTTCTTAAAATGTGATGATGACACCTCCTGGCCACCAAAATATGCTGTATGGATATGAAGTTTCATTTCATATCAGAAGAATATGAATGGCAATAAACATTTAAAAAGATGTTTTATCTCACTAATACCCAGGACATGCAAACTGAAACCTAAATGAAGTACCTATTCATTGGGTGGGCAAATTTTTTTTAATTTGACAATATTGAATGTCACAAAAATGGGGAACAATAGAAATTCTATGCCACTGGAGGTAGTGTGAACCAACTTAATATCACTGTAAATAATTTGGCATTATCCCGTAAAGCTGAAGATAAGCAATGAGCAGTTGCAGTCCTACCCAGGTACCCTAGAAAAGCTCTTGAGCATGTACACCAAGAGATGTGAACGAGAATCCCCACAGCTGTACCACTTGAAGGAGCAGATGTCTGTCCACAGTGGAACTGGTAAATAAACGGATATGTTCATGCGACAGAATGCAATTCTGAAAAACTAGTGAATAATGGCTGCAACCAGCAATACAGATGAATCTAAAACAAAGTGTTGAGCAAAAGAAAATATCAGAAGACACACAGTGACTTCATTTAGGGAAAGTTCAAAACCACACAAAACGATATACTATTGCTCCATTCTCACACTGCTTCAAAGATGCTCCCCAAGACTGGGTAATTTATAAACAAAGGAAGTTTAGTTGGCTCACAGTTCCATATGGCTGGGGAGGCCTCAGGAGACTTACAGTCATGGCAGAAGGGGAGACAGGCATGTTTTACATGGTGGCAGGTGAGGCGGGGTGGGGGGGAATCAGGGAAGAGGGGAAGAGAGGCAGGGAGTGGGGAAGCAGAGAGAAGAGGGGGTAGAGGGAGGGAGGGAGGAAAAGAGGGAGAGAAGGGGAGGAAAGAGCAAGTGTCCAACACTTATAAAACCATCAGATCTCATGAGAACTTACTCACTACCATGAGAACAGCATGGGGCACACTACCCCCGTGATCCAGTCATCCCCATCCCTCAACATGTGGGTACTACGGATCCCTTGCTTGGTGTTTAGGCTAACATGCTCCATTTAGCAAGGGGTCAAGATGTGGTAGAGAAGCCGTGGTTCAGGCTACCAGGAAGTGGCAAACCCTCCACACATGGGGATTACCATTTGAGATGAGATTTGGGTGGGGATACCGGGCCAAACCATATCAACTATTTGCGGATACAACCATGCAGCAGAGCCATAAAGCAAAGCCAAGGAATGATAAAACTGTAAGAGACAGGTCAGAGAAAGGGACTGGTGAGAGGCATTCAAGGGCCGCAAAGAGAATAATGCTCAGCCAGAGGAGGTTCACAACCCTATCTTGTATTGTTATTCTTTATACTTGTACATTATCTGTCATGCATAAACAGCATAAACAGCATCTATTTAATAGTTAATAAAGTAACTCTTTCAAGAAGCACCACTTCCTGGTAGCCTGAACCGCGGATTCTCTACCGTGGCTTGACCCCTTGCTAAATGGGGCACGTTCGCCCAGACAAGCAAGGGTCTATAAACCGGGTGCCAGTTCTGCAGTAAACTGCTGTGTGACCTTCCAGGTCTCTGTTCAATTAATGATTCCTGAGGTTCCCTCCAGCCCTAATATTGTGTTTGTTGTCTTAAAAATTCACTTGGAAACTGCCCATGTCAACCCACGTTTCTGTTGGCGTTTTCACGGATTAGAAGGGAAGAAGACAATCACGTGCATCAGTTGCTTCGCACCAAGCCTGAGAGTCATCCTGAATTCCACACTTTCCCTGACAACGCACACCCCATCCATCAGCAAGGATTTTCTCCTCCGCCACCAAACATGCCTGGAATTCAGCCACTCCTCCGCACCGCCTTTGCTACCCCCCATTCCAACCGGCCTCATCCCTCAAGTGGCCTCTGGGCTGGCCTCCCTGCATCTGCTCTTCCCAGGCCTTCAGCATCTTCTCCCTCCCACCATCCATCCTGAATGAAAAGCATGTAAATTAGTTGTGTTCCCCAACCCCAAGACTTCCCATATCACTTCAACTCAGACTGTGACCCCCTAACCAAGACCTGCAGAGACCACAGGACCAGCCTCTGCCCACTCCCCAAACCTTGTCTTCTGCCATGCCCCCCACTGCCTTTTTACTGTGCCCTCTGCCCAGGAGGCTTTCCCCAGGATCACAGCTGCCTCCCTCTCCTTACTCACAATGCAAAGGTGAGCACTGTAGAGAGGCCATTTTGGACCTGGAGCTAAGGCCCCGCCTGACCCCAGCCCAGCCATGCCGGCTCACTTCACCTTGTGTGGTCTTCAAGACAGGACCATAGACATTATTAACACATAGGTGTGTTTTTTGGCTGCCCTAGTCATGGCAAGGACTCCATCCTGTTTACTATTTTTCCAACACCAAGCACAGTGCCTGACACATGACGGGAGGTTGATAAGCCTTTGCTGAATAAAGAAAGAGTGATGCGTGGGAACATGGGGGTAGTGGGGAGCTGGCCTTTGTGGAATAACTACTGT